TGCTTTGGACGAATTTGAGACTATATTTATAGTTTCTTAGAATCGACTTAAATCGCGGCGAGAAATAATAAATTCGAAAAATATATTCAGAATCTTCTGAATTCCTTCCATGCTTAACTCCAACTGACTTCCTTGTTCAATACTTAACAAAATTATGTCCAAAATGACCATTTTCAGCTACTAAATCACCAACATGTCATTTTCAGCTACAAAATATAAATATAAAACAATTAAACGCCTTATGTTCGTAAAAATACCAAAAATGACAATTTTCAGCTACTAAATCACCAACATCAAAATATCTCACACTTGGATTTTGTTTGTCCTTAAGCAAACTATATATAACTCAAGTCAAATTTAAAACTTTCATTACATAAGATAACCCTATTCTAAACCCACCAATTTTATTAAGTTTCAATGCGCATATTTGTGTCTAAATCTTAATAACTTTTCCAACTTTAAATTCTCACAATCTTCATAAATGTTCCCCACTTAGTACGAATAATACGGACTTTTGCATCCCTTCAAATATACCCTTATTAAAAACTACTTAACCTCAAGGTATTTTTTTTTCAAGTTCCCATATTTTAGATATTATCTCGTAGTAATGTTTCTATATAGGATACCACTTTCCACATTTCTTTGATACATAACTCTCTCCTTGATATAACTTTATTGCATATAGTACCAAATTTACTAACTTTAGCTTGTGACTTCCTATGAGAGATTTTTGGGTACATGTTATTGCTCCTCCCAAAAGGCACTAAAAGAAGTTCATGACTTTCGATACAATCCATGTAATGATAATTTTACCCGATGGTCCTTTACCAAATGGCTCATGGTCACTAGACATTAAATTTCCTTAAGGGTTTACTATCTCAAATTGTAAAGGCCACAGACTAACATCTCCCTTTGAGCTCAACTAGAAAACTTGACATCAACCTTTATTGGTTAAAATATATATTTGAATTGTAAAGGCCACATATTTCATATTTGGAACTTTATTTCCTTCATTTTTATCCTAATTGTGAAACTTGACATCAACCTTTATTGGTTAAAATATATTTTTAGGTAGGGGTATATTTCAGCAAACAATGCACAAATATAGTACCCTCATACAACACAAGTTCACATTTTTGTTTCATGATTTCACTAAATCTATAAAGTCACATATATACTATAACATATCCATTAAAAGATACATGTGAGTGCCCTCAATGTTTAAAAAAAAGGTTCTCTAATGCCCTTAATGAAGATAAATCATGACGCCACTACATACCACCACTACAACATGAAATTTGTTTGAATTTGAGTCATAAACGTTATGTATGCTTGTCACATATTGAGTATTCCATACATATCTCATGCCTCTGTGATGTCCCTAGGAACCCTACATAACCCTTATACCAACCTTCCCACATATACATGCTAATTGGTTTCATCATGCCATAGGCTCATCATGGAAGAAAAAATAGTTTCAGATTAATTGTATCGAGCTTGTAGTTACCTTCATTATCAAGCCATATGTAACGTACCATTTTCACAACAAAAAATTATCATTTTTATTTAAGTAAACCTTCCCAATTATAAATCCGTTATGGAGAAAACCATTTATTTCAAATACAATTATAAAAATCAGGATAATATTAAAGCGTGAAATCTTCATTGTTATTGATGAATGTGTACAGTCACGCCTTCGCCTTCCCATGACGACTGATGATACCTGAAACAATAAGCAACTGGGTAAGCACAAAGCTTAGTGAGTTTCCCCCAAAATACCCCATACGATAAACATACAAGCATGCATAACTGCTGCTCTTCGGCCTTCGGGCTGTCTGGACCGCCTCGCAGGCCTTCAGTCTATCTGGGTCGGAATATCAAGGTTTTTTGGCCTACCGCCTCAACCTAACCGCTCCTCCCGACCCTCCGTGCATTCTGCTTACAGCCAGCCTGCACCGAGTATCTTGGCCTACAACACAAAGCATGACCGCCTCAACGCACTACCACCATATGTCAACATGTAAACAATCAGGATCAAGTAGGCACATAATTCAGGCAAACATCAATCCTACAGCTCACTACTGCCTACTATACCTCTCACAACATCCTGTCCCTCTACCAACTAACCTCCATGAAATGTGTAAATCAATGATCCTACTCTAGAGCCGCAACCAAACAAGGAACAGGCAAGAAAGCCTAAATCAATAGTTCTTAGGCTATCCTACATGACAACATACAATCCGTAGGGCACTCCACTAGATAATAACCAACAAGTACAAATAACATACAGATCCAACAATGCATTCTAGCATAGCAACATCCTATATACCATGATACCGATCTAACATATCACTACAACATAACAACATCCTATATAACAGGATACCAATCTAACAGATCACTATAACATAGTAACATACTAACTATCAAAAATCCAAAGAATGCATGACCGTATATATTCAGAGGTGAGATAGCCACCCGGACAGGTGGTCCTACTCTAGAACCACAACCAAATAAGGAACAGGTAAGTGAGCCTAGACCAAGAGTCCTCAGTCTATCCTACATGAATATATACAGTCCCTAAGGCATCCCTCTACTAATAGGTAACCAAAACTAGTGGGCCATCATTGATACCTTCGATCCACGGTACAATGAGGAGAAACTCACTTGAATCAAAGAACTCTGGACACTGCGATACAATTCTTTTTTCAGCGTTGCTCGATCCCGCGAATCCACTAACACCAAAACCAAATAGAATCTCAATCAACAGCCCAAAATCCACAAGTTGGACTCAAAGTCAAACTTGTTAAAAAATTCAACGGTCAACGAAAGTCAACGAAAGTCAACAGTCAGCAGATCCGCACGACGTGACCATATATGGCTCACGTCGTGAGCCACTACAGGACAAAATAATCGAGTCTCACGACCCTCACAACGTGAGATGCATCTCCTCACGTCGTGAGATCAGTCTGGAAGACATTTTGATCCAAAAACTTGTGAATCCATTAAGCAACTAATCCATCTTTTCTAGGAGGCTTCCTAACACTCCAAGCATCATAAAAATCGATGCTTTAAGGTCTTGTATGTCCAATACAAGACTTGGGCTCAAACTAGGTCATTCATGGAGAAAAAGAAGATAAATTCTCATGCATGAACTCCAACATCATTCAAACTCCAGATCTATAACATATAAGCACTAAGGGACCCTAAGGACCCATAAAGTTGCCAACTTTATGGAGTCACAACACCTCGACTCTTAAGATATTGGATAAATATGCATAAAACCTTTGATCTAGCAACAAGGAAACATAAAGCTTGGATCTTGGTTACTCACATTGGTCCAGAAGTGTAGCTAAATGTTGCAAATGAAGCTTCCAAGCTGCAACTATACGTTCATGATGATCTCTTCCTCTTCAAGGCACCAAAACTCAACAAAAAGTTCAGGAATAACAATGAGAGGCTAGGGTTTGGGTTTTACTAAGTTTAGGGACGAAGGAGGCTGTTTAGAAACCCCAAAATGAGCTTTATGGTGTTTAAATACGAAGGAAAACCCTAAAGATCATGGGCGTGGGCTGCAGCGTATCTCACGTCGTGAATCTTTTTGCTCACGTCGTGAGCCCAGTCTAAATCAGAATCTTCATTTAACCACTCCTCACGTCGTGACCCTTCTATGGCTCACGTCGTGAGCCTTGGTTTTACCCCAAAACCTTGCCTTGACTCTTTGAAACCCTAAATTGATTTGATACGGAGAACCGGGTGTTACACCATACCTTTAATTTAACTAGACTACAACGTCTAAGGAAAAACACATTATCACCAATACAACTCCTTTATCCCAGTGGACAATAAGCTAACCAACTGGCATGATATTTATTTCCTTGATCATGATGGTCACAACATTTATAGGTCATGACATACTCCTCCCCAACTTGCAAGAAGTCCTTATATTGATGAGTAGAACTTCAAATTCTTCAAAGGATCAACATACTGTGTAGCCACATACTACACTCCAAAGTCTCAAAACATACCAATATGCGAGAATCCATTGTGCCTACTCCGAGTCTACCCAATATCCTACCCAATAAAGGTGGATCAATCCTCGACATATTGTCTCCCCCTAAGGGAAACACACTCGTAAGCCCTTCCTTGAAGGACTCCACATAATGCACACATATATCGTGAGTATGTTCCGCTCTAATACCACTAGCCACATATTGAGAGTTTGATGCCTACTTCCTACTTGTGGGACGTCTTGACCTCATATGAAAACAAGACCAATCTTCCTACATACACATGCCAACGGGTTTACCATACCTTGAACTCATCATGGAAGCCACAATATCTCCCTACCAGTTATGTAGAAGTCAATATGGTTCTTTTCGCCACTAAGCCCCCTTAACTTAGCCATAATCCATTGTCTATACACAACGTATTATCACTAATGTGACCCTTTCGATCCAAATTGGCAATGAACCTAAAATGTACAATCTTCATCTTCACGGTCCATAAGATCACACCATTTACAGTCTATAAGATCACACCATTTCACAGTCTTAATGGTATGCTATTTATAATGTGTCTTAATTGTTTTTTATTGTTACTTCTTACATATGTTTTTCGAATCGGCACAATGAGCATTTGGTTCAATGTAAAACAACCAATTTATTTTGATATTGGATATTTGACCAAATAAATTTGCAACATTAACCATCATATATATTTGAACCTATGAAGCTCTATTTTAGAGGGTGTTTAGCTAAACTTATTTAAACTCCTTTTTAGTTTATTACGGTTCCACACCAGTATAAACTAAAAAGAGTGTTTGAATAGAAATAGTTTATCAAAATATCGTACCGAAAATAAGTTAATAAGTTAAAATCTATAAGTAAGTTCCCTAACTTATTACTTACAAGTTATAAGCTATATATTGAAATTGACAAGTACTTATACCAAACACCCCTTGAGAGACATTGACCCAATGTTCGTAAGCAAAATGCGGATGATCATGATATTGTCACCTTTCAAAAAAAATCGAAATTACTTTTTCAATTTCTACTGTATATTGATAAAAATAATACACGATTTTGTATTTATTTTTGGATAAAAAGTATAAACTTTCGTATCCGTCGGTAATTAACTAGTCGATGATGATAAGCACGCTTTCCTAGCCACCACAAAGACGAAGTAAACTGAAGAAGAAAAAAAAAACGCACAGCTTCGTCCGACCACAGTCGCCGGAAAACTTGATTCTTACTCAGCTCCGGTACTTTTATCTTGCTTTTATGATTTCAATCTTAAAATCAGCTTTTATATCTGTATTTGCGTGCATCTGTTTCTGATTGTTAATCCATTTGCTAGAATGATTTTTGGTTCCCCGTTTCATGCTTTCAATCAGCAAACAATCTGATAAATTACTTTTCAATTAGTAATCAAAATGTTTTACTTCGAACTGATTAAAGTTTGTTCATAAGTATCGGGTTTCCATTTATTTTGTGTGATTCTACGAACAGGGGAAGGAGGAACTATTCTAGGGCTTGGTTGATAAAAAAAAAAAAGAACTGCGCTTTTGTATGATATGTTGTACTTGGTGCGTGAGAACCTCTTCATCGGCAACATCAATGCAGCTGCAGAAGTACTTTTGAATGGCAGTGAAGGAATCACCCATATCTTATCAGTTCTGAGCTCGGCTTCTATCAGCTTTTTCTCAGAATGGAAATCCAGTTTCTCAGTTCCTACCAAAGAGATTCGCACTGTGTACATGGGGGATTCAGATTCAAATGAAAATTCAGAGGGTGATGTATCAGATAAAACCGCATTATCCTCCAAGAAGATTCTTTATGTACTCGAGAATGCAGGAAAGGATTTGAATCTGGTGAGGATGGCTGTGCCATTGAGAGACATGGAGAGCGAGAATTTGCTTGATTCTTTAGAAGTTTGTTTGGATTTCATTGATGAAAGTAGGAAAAAGGGTTCAGTTTTGGTTCATTGCTTTGCAGGTGTATCCAGAAGGTAAATCAAAATCTTACATACTAAATACTAATTTCTCATTTTATCTATTACTTTCATGTTTATACACCTATATATATTGTGTTCATTGCAGTGCAGCCATCATCACAGCATACCTGATGAGAACTGAAAGAATTTCTCTAGAAGGTTTGAAAACAGCTAATTTTTCAGTATTTATCGTCTTATTTATTAATCATTTTACATTTTCTTTCATTGGATATGAAATGTCTCTTTCCATTTTTGTCCACCTAAATATCCCTGCAGATGCACTTGAATCGTTACGCCAAAGCAATGAATCTGTTTGCCCTAATGATGGATTTTTAGAACAGGTAAAGACAAAATTAAATACAAAATTACAAATAATAATAATAATAAACAATACGAGTGTCTGGTTTTATATTTCTTTTTCTGCTTGTAGTTGAGCATGTTTGAAGATATGGGTTTCAAGGTTGACCATTCAACCACTATATATAAACGCTTCCATTTGAAGGTTTTAGGTGCGTGTTTGACTGTTTTCTTACCCAAATTCTTTAATTTGTAAATATATTTTGTAATTCTCAACATTTGACGTTTATGCCCTTGTGGTATTTAGGCGACTCATACAACCGAGGAGAGAAAATCGACACCACAAAGTTTGCTGCTGACCCTGGCTTGGCCAAGAAAGAAGTCACTATCGGGACCGGAACGGCATCACAGAAAGAAGTGATTCCGACTCCGATTCCGACTCCGGCGTCTGCATTCCGGTGTAAAAAATGTAGGAGAGTTGTTGCATTGGAGGAGAATGTTGTGAGTCATGTTCCAGGGGAAGGGGAGAGTTCATTTGAGTGGCATAGAAGGAGAAGTGACAACTATTTTAACAAATATGATGAGCTTGAATGCACCTCCATTTTTGTTGAGCCTCTTCGTTGGATGAAAACAGGTTTGACTGACTTTGACCCCTCTACTATTTGTGCATTATATTAAAAGCATCGTATTTAAATTTTTAAGAAATGTGAAATATGATCCAGTGGAAGAAGGTGCATTGGAAGGAAAGCTGTGGTGCAGTCACTGTGAAGGGAGGTTGGGTTACTTTAATTGGTCAGGAATTCAGTGTAGCTGTGGGAGCTGGATCACTCCAGCCTTTCAGCTCCATAGAAGCCGAGTTGATATCAGCACTCTTTAAAAAATAAAAATAAATAAAAACTTTTATGCTCTCTTTCTTCAATAATATTATACAAAAATCACACTCATCATTTCATTGTTTGTTATTTCTAAATCATACAATTCCATTTCAAACGGATATTTTATCTGTATGATCCAGGATTCAAACTCATGTGTGCCTAATGCTATCTGACATATTTTTTTCTATATATGAGTGTAGACAATCATTCATGAATTATTATTGATCATTTTTTTTATTGGACAAATATATCGTTATCAACTTCATGAAAAAAGTTATTGTATAATATTTTAATATATCTTTATCGACTTCATTCAAAAAGTTGGTATAATATATTTTTTTAGTATATGCCTCTTTAATTTCCTTATGAGTATGAAAAAGCATCGTAATGTGTTTGAAGATATGATCTTGAAGGCATATGTTGCAAGTGGAGTATATATCCAGATTCGGAAGATAGGTTAAGTTTGGAAAAAAAACTATTTTGGTACCCTTTCCGACTATGCTTTCTTATGTGAAAATAACAATATAAAATCTATTTATTAATTATGTGCAAAAAGCACCATTTTTCGTAAAATAATATGTAATAACTAGTTATCATGTAATAAATGCTCAAATGGTGAAACCATACCGTTTTTCGTCATGTTAGTGGTTAATCCAAAATAAAAATATGCAAACATCGATTTGTGTTTGTGTGAGTATTGTCATTATTAATGATAATACGAAATAAAAGAATCATAAGAGCGTATTGTTTATAAGATATATTTTATGGTAACTTCTACGGATTATATAGAAAACCTTAATTTTAGAACACCATCCCCCTCTAGGAATGGATGTGAGAAGAGAAACTTTGTTGACATACCTTCTAACCTAATAAAAGAAAAATCCATGATTCTTTTAGTGTTAGGTTTACCTCATGTGTTGTTCATTTTGACTCTTTTGTTTTGCTTTATTGAACAACAAATCAAAAATATACTTAAGATATGCTTTTTAGATACACTTTTCTTCCCATCCACATAATTGATAATCCCACCATTGGAAATTAACAATGAACATTGGAAGCAAATAATTAATGGAAGTGCTGATCATACGTTGGATATCAACAAATAATTAATGGAAGTGCGGAACATACGTTGGATATCACATCCACACGCATCTCATTTTCTTATTGGTTTCAAGGTTTTGGTTGTACACTGTATCTTTTACATTAGAAGTAAGAGTATTTATGAAATCAACTTAGCATTTTTTACATGGTATCATTGAAGTCAAAGTGATTAAGTAGAGTTAACATAGCTTAGGTATTAATTATAATAGAAAATTATACTCCATATCAAGATAATATAAATGCAACTACAAACATATTTGGTTTTGCAACTAATAAAAACCATGTTTTACTACACAAACAGAATTAGAATAAAATATTATATGACAATTTGTTCAATTCAGAAAATGGAATAAAGAGTTAAAGCAGGGATAACAAAGAAATATACTTAATGCAACGTATATACCAATAAACCATGGGTGGGATTCCAACGCTAAACTTCCAATAACATGGCAGTGTCACCATCATTATAAGATCTATATATAATAAGCTTAGTTTGTGAATACCAATATCCCCGGAGATTTTGTTTATTTAAGAGTCCTTATATTCAAGACGATAAGAAAAGGTACTACACATGCTCAATAAGACATTAGTTGTTTGCTAGGTAACTATACATTTAACTGTTAATGAAGATGACTTTATTGTTCATGTCTTCATGACAATTAAGTTTGTAGTATCTTAATTACACTTACCATTGTTGTATGCTTCTTTTCATCATTAATTAAGTTCGAATTCAGTTTGCACAACTTCAATATTATGTTTTAATTTTCGCACCATTGATTCTAATGCCTTACAGAATTTCACAACCATAAAGTTTTTGGTGTTGATAATTATGGAAAGAGTTGGACCATCCACAACAGTCAAGTACGAGTGTTTGCTTTTTGGTATGTTGAAAGTGAATTAATTTTTCCTTGTTTTTTGTTTTTTTTCTGCATTTTGTCATGTAGTCCAAACTAGTTAAAAGAGATTATGCTTAACATGGTTTAATTTGTTCATCATTCTTAGATATGGATGATACACTATACCCCATGAGCTTAGGTCTTAATTCTGCTTGTCGCAAGAACATTGAAGGTACCCAAGAACCCATTATATATACCTATCTAACGGCATAAGATGTGATTATAAAATTTTGATTGTAAATGGATATAACATATGAAATTTTTGATCCAGAATTCATGTTGACACACTTGAACATAGATGAATGTGAAGTCCCGAGTATGTGCTTAGACTTGTACAGAGAACACGGGACAACCATGGCTGGTCTCAAGGTAATTACACTACAGCTTCGCATTTCATTAATGAAACCTCTAAAGATATTTTCAAGTAAAAAGATAGTAGAATGTTGAATTATATAGATAAATGCTACCTTTTTTGAGTACTAGATACGCATTTATGATTATGTCTAATGTGAATATCATATACATGTGGTTTTCTTGGCACAGGCTCTTGGTTACAAGTTTGATGATGATGAATTTCATGCATTAGTTCATGGAACCTTACCTTACCACGCTCTCAAACCCGATCTTGTGCTAAGGAACATTTTGCTATCGATGCCACAACGAAAAATTGTATGCCTTAGAAGCTACCACATGATCTTTTTTTATACCTTATACTAAAAAGAAGTCCAAGTACAACTTTAAAGATAAAAATATAACATGTTATATATCTCAACTTTTAAAAAATCATTATATTTTTGCAATCAGAAGGAAACAATTTATTCATTTTGGATCTGGAAAAAGATACTCATTTGACTATGAAAAGTCATATATAGATATATATATATATATATATATATAGATATATATATATATATATATATATATATATATATATATATATATATATATATATATAGGGAAATGATCAAATGAGAACACCTAAAAGGTTGAGAACGCGAGAACAGTTCTAAACCAATCAATATATAAAGGCATATAAGTAATTGTATATTTTAATTAAATTAAAATAAAACAAAATTCAATTAAATTCCCTTAAATTTAGGATCAGTTACCAAAAATAAAGAAATATTCAACTTTTTATTTTTCTTATTAATGGAATATAAAAAACATTTTTACCAAAATTTATTTAAAAAATGAAAAAAAATCAAAATTTTCTCCTATTTCACGTTTTTTTTTCTTCAAAAAAAAAAATGAATAGAAATCCAACCCCAAATCAATACATTTATATTCACAAATGATTTTTTTTTTCCAAAAACCTGAAACTATTCCAATCACAAATGAATACATATCAATTTACAAGTAATCCAATTCCTTTTTTTAATCAACAGAAAATAAAAAGAATACCTCTAATCATAAATAAATACACTTATTAACACATGATTACACTGCTATTAACAAATGAGTACCCTACTATTCACAAATGAATAAATGAATACCTCTAATCATAAATAAATACATTCATTCACACATGAATGCATTGCTATTCATAGATGAATACAATGTTATTCATAAATAAATACACATTCTAAATGTATTCACAAAGAGAGATCACGAGACTTAAAGATAAGAAAGATGTAGTAGACTGCAGAAGCTAGGGTTCACACTTTCGCACCCATCATCTCTGTCCAATAATCCACACCAGCTTCACCGATCGAATTCGATCCTCCAAAGCCCTAATCTAGGACTTGGGGAACGACTACAAGTAAGAGAATGGACTTCGATGAGTATGAGTACTTGGAGAAGACAGTCGACGAATCCGACACCAAGAACGGTTCGTCTTCGAAGACCAAAGACGGTCTGTCTCTCTCGACGTCACTCTCTCCATCCCTACACTACTTCTGTGACACTCCGATCGGGAAGACCTTTCCTCACGGCTACGACTACAGCCATGGTCACGTTCTCTGTCTAAGTCCCTCCTACTCCCGTCGTTCTCTTTGTCCCCTTTGTGTTTCTTGCTCCTTCTCCGTTCTTCTTCAATGCGGTCATCTTCAACATCTTCGCCATCATCTTCTCTTCCCTTCCGCTTCTGTTTCATCTGATTCAAGGATGCAGGTATAGAATCTCCAATGAGTACCGATGAAATAAAATCGAGTTGTAGGAGAACGATCGGAGATCGAGTTGTAGGAGGCCGATTTGGCGTTGAAGCCTTGGAGGGTTTTGGTGATGGCGAGGTCTGATGATGATCGAGTTGAAGGAGGCCGCTTCTGTTTCATCGATTGAATGCTCTATGAGATTAGGTCAAGAAATAGAGAGGCAGAGAGTAATTATAGGAGTTTACAAAATTAGGGTAATGCTTATTTACCTTAATAGCCTTTATAATTTTCTTTAATTTAAAAATTAAAATTTAAATGTATTAATAATTAGAAAAATAACAATTAATTATAGCCACACATCTTAAAAATTAGATGGTCTAGATCTGTTCTCGCGTTCTCAACCTTTTAGGTGTTCTCATTTGATCTATATATATATATATATATATATATATATATATATATATATATATATATATATATATATATATATATATATATATATATATGGACACCTTTCTTGAATGAAGCTAGTGTTCTATTGTTAGATTTTACTAAGTTGTTTTAAGTTTGTGTTTTGGTTTCAGATTTTCACAAATGCGGACAAAGCACATGCAGCTCAAGTCCTGAGTAGGATGTGCTTAGAAGATTGCTTTGAAGGAGTCATATGCTTTGAAACGCTTAATACTAATCCAGTAGAAGAACCACAATCAATGAAATATTGTAGCATTAATGAAACTAACGACATTAATACTCGAATCATATGCAAACCAGCTCTTGAATCATTCCAAGCCGCTGCTATCATTGCCAATATTGACCCTAACAAAACCGTAAGCTAAACTCGTTCTTTAAGTTTAATCCTTCAAATGAAGTAGTATAATGTAGAAAATGGGAACTATATATTTCTTGATTGCATAATTAAGAAGGTTAATATTGTTTAGTTTATCTGTCTTCCCTCAGATTTTCTTTGATGATAGTATCCGGAACATTGCCACTGGAAAGGCCGCTGGATTTCATACTGTCATCGTAAGTTGTAAACATTTTTTTGCACTACACATTCATCCATTAATGTTAAACATGTATGCTTCCACTTTTATGGTCATGGGTTTATATCTGAATTGAAACTCGAAGAATGGAAGACACCAATTGTCTTTATATGGAAAATTTAACATAACTATACCTAAAAAAGTAAGTAATTCTATGTTATGACCAAGAAAGCACAATGATATATAAGTTGTACAGGTGGGAAGGTCAAGTCTTGTGGCAGGGGCAGATCATGCCTTACGAAGCATCCACAATATGAGAGAAGCATTGCCTGAATTATGGGAGTGTGAAGGAGAAGAATATACAGAACAAATGATGATACATTCTGCTGCTGTGGAAACCGTTGTCAAAGCTTAGGATGTAACTTTACATCGATCTTTGTGCACAATACTTCATATGTATGTTTAAGTTTTTACTTGAACTTTGTATGCTTAATATTAAATATGCTCAGAAAACTGTCGAAATAAAGGTGTTGCAACATGCAAGCCGTCGAAGCCTTACTTGTTTCCCAAACTGTTTTTGTTATTTGGGTTATCTATATATTTCTAAGTTTTAGAGTTGTATTAGCCATTAGGAGTCTTATTTAGTCTCCTATATATATAGGGCAATTATATAATTGTTTTAATTATCTATTTTCTTCCTGTTTACACCAGATTTCCACTTTATATCGTAGATTCGTAGTGTTCTTTATGGTTAGTTGTGTTTATTTATTTTATAATCAGTGGTATCAAAACGTTTAAAGATGAAAACACATACATGTCTGCCGTTCCTTCTTAAACTACCTTGTCGTCGTTACAGGTTGATCGATCTTCTTGATCGATCTCTTCATTCCACATAATCGATCGTTTTTTAAGCCAAAATACCTTCTACTTGATGGATTCTACAAAAAACTTCCTTATCGTTTTTTAAGACGACAATGCCTTAGAAAGTTAGAATCGTTTTTTTTTGTCCTCTATATGAGCCCATTAATAGATTGTTTCACGCTTCAGCCATTAAACCAATTAAACAACCCCACATTATTGGTTCTCTTAAGCCCATATATATCAATTCCATTATACACAGTTGTTTCATACTAAAACCTTTAAATAGCCTCTTATTCGATATTTTGTATATCATTATAACAATTTTTTTCTTATCAATTCTCAATCCCAAACAACAAGCAACTAAGCCCTTTAAATATCTTATAAATTGTAGCAGCGAGAAGTTCTATGTGTGTCATGCTATTGATTATTTCACCTGTATCCTTTATTAATTTTATCTTAAAGATCAATCTGAAAAAACAACTCAACTTTATGAAACAGTAGTTTATCAATGAATTAGACTCCAATAATAGTTCTAAACCAAACAAACGACATGGAATTAACCAAACATTAATGACCTGTTTTGTTTATTCATTCTAATACGATCTATTCTTTAAATATTTAAATATTTTCTAATTAAGATGGTTATAAGATATAACATTATATATATAGTTGTAGAATATTACTAAAAAAATAAGAGTGTTAGTGTTCACTTGGCAGTAAATTATCCTCAACTATCAATCATTTTTATGTAAACTTCACTGCACATAAATAAAATTTTATAGTTAAAATATAAACAAACTTATGTTATTGAAAAAATATGATTAAAATTATAAATTACTTTACATTTTTTGATTTCTTTCTATTTAAATTTAGCATTTTTTTTTGTTTTTTCACAACAAACGGGTATTCACCTAATGTAATGTTAAAGCAATCAAGTCACGGAAAAAAAATCTACATTAACTTGCAACAAGAAATGTTT